TTGTTTTAGTTTACTTATGGTTAAAAATGGAGACATTAAATATATTCATAAGTATTTCGTGACAATAGGACTGCGGTTTAAACGGCCGATCGGTTCCCTCTTTGGTCATCAGTTGTTCAAACATTTCGTCGACAGTTGTGTTCACTATTTGCGCAAAATCCGCAGAATTTGCATATTTTCTATTCAATTAATTCAGTTTAATAATTAAATAACTAATTTTTTAACATGAGAGAATAGTTTAAAATAAATCAAATACCGAATAGTAGCTATGGACATTCTTCTCAGCCACATAGCACTTTGTAAGTGGCTATTAAATGCCATATCTCTATGATTGTCATCGTTAAAAATTGATCCTAATCTAATAGTTTAAAATAAATCAAATACCGAATAGTAGCTATGGACATTCTTCTCAGCCACATAGCACTTTGTAAGTGGCTATTAAATGCCATATCTCTATGATTGTCATCGTTAAAAATTGATCCTAATCATAATTTAAAGCAACTTGATTAATTTTATGTAAAATATAAACAGCATGTGATAAATATTTATAGTATGTTATTAACTAAAACCAGGGACCCTACCTGTTCACAACAGAGAGTTTCAACTGTATCTTATTTGTACCTGTATACAATATATTTTACCTTGTATGAAATGAAATAACTATTATAATTTTACCAAGCAAAACTTGAAATTTTCCCGAGCATTCGCGTTTATTAAAAGCTTGTTTAACAATAAGCGGATCACCGATAAGTACGATAGGTATGGGACCGACCCATACGGTCACCACCGGTCCATACAGTTTGTATAGTTTTGCCAGTTCTTGGTTTATGTGATGTTTTTGATTTCTAAATACTATTTAAATACAAATTAATTAAACATTAATTATTAATCTTAAGTATTAATTAAAATTCTGTGTATATGTAATTTTTTAAAATTATTTAGTTTAAATGTTGTTTAGTAAATGTTGTTTAGTTTAAATGAATTAATTTTCTAAATTATTTTAATAAAAATATTATTAATTAAATGTCAAGTAAAAATATTAATAATTAAAGTATATGCATACATAGTATATTGCCAATTATTGGTAGTGGTGTTGGACCAGGTGGGTAACTACATAACTTTGAATAAAATCCTACTAGATAGAATGCAACCAGTCCAATTATAAATGTGAAACAAATATCTAACCACGTTACACTATTAACAATAAATTCAGTTTTAATAATAATATTAAGTCTATTATACGTAGGTACAACATATGTCAATAAGATATAGCAACACTCACATGAACATGGTCACTTATTTAAATATGAAAACTTGTAAATATTTCAATCAATAATTATAAAAACTAAATAAGTGCATTTTTAAAATTTCAATATTCATAAAGGTAAATAATTTAAGTTTATAACAGATGGTTATATAATTATATTGCATATACTGTATTAAAATTTAATTTACTAACTTTAAACACTATAAGATGGTAGCTAAATAATATCAACATCTATAATACAATTGCAATATACTGTGACACGGAAACAATTAGAGTACATTTGCAATATTTAAATATTAAACTTAACAATTAATCTGTTATTTAAATTTAAATATTCTCTGAAATTGGCGTTTGTTAATTAAACTACATCAAAGTATTTAATATTATATGACAATTAATTAAAAAATTATATATTTTTAAAAAACATTTTGAATAAATAAGTTTTACAAATGCAATTTTATTTTATCATAACAGTATAATTAATTATGTTAACTAGTTTAATGATTAATAAAATATGCTTTACAAAAAATACTTGCTTATTCTGACAGTATTATATTTAATATTTAATAAAATTTAATATATTTAAGTGCAATGTTAAGTAAAATTAATTTAAAAAAATTAATATATTAATAATTAATAATAAATATTTCCCAATTGTATTAAAAATTATAATAATTGTCTGAATATATTTATTGTAAGCATATAAAAGCGAGACAAAATAACTACACGAGATATAATAAAATATCCATATAACAAAAATTTTTTGTCTGTATTTTACAACAATACTGGATACACTGCTTGCCTATAATCGCCACTAATCATGCTCGCTATAATGATTATAAATAATATTACTTTATTGTTATTTCGCTGAATTAACAGATAATGTAAACGCGCGACAATTTTATCATTGGAATAATCCATTTATATATTGACTCGATTGTGGATCTCATGGCCAAATAACGTATCAAAGTTTGTTCCGTGTGGTCGTGTCTACCATTTTGATACGTAACGCTAAGAATACCACTAAGCCGGATTATTTAGCGCTTACAATGGAGAGTTAAGGTCTTGCTACGTAATATTATAAATTTAATGGTGGTAAATTGTTGTTATGGTCATATTATTTAATATTCTAAAAAAATTTCATTCCAATGCGAGATCTAGATGGATTAAAACGCCCGCTAATGTTTATGCAGTATGCATACATAGCTTGTGAAGAGCTCGACTGGACGATCGGGCTGATACAGTGCCATAACTTGTGGCTTTGTAAGTGCCATCTTGAGGCTTGTAAAAGCATTGTGTTGCACCGCACCCAAATCGAAAAGGACGTCTTTGCAAGTGAGGCGTGTGAGCGGTTCGGCCAATCGGCTGAAGTGTGGAACAGAGTCATAGTAATAGTTGGTCTCACCAACAAAGGGTTGGATTGCCTTCACGGCGGTCGCGCGAGGATAGGCCTAAATGGCATCGATTTTCGCGAGAGAAAGCCGAGACGTGCCGTCGCCGATGATTAGCCCAACACGTCGAACAGCAAGTAATAAGTGGCTTCAATGGCATTGTACACAATGATATTGTTAGTCTATGCCGTTCCCATAGCATAACTAACTCACTCCGGTGACTACCATAGCATACCTTATATCTTGCTGACTTTGCCAGCTTTGCCCTCTTCCCAAATCCCACTCGCACACTAATTAGCTAATTTAAACAAAATAAGTATCTTGGTCAATTAAAAATAATTGTTTTAAATATTTTATTGATGGCACAACAAAAAAAGTGCAAACACTCTATAGAAACTCCAGTACACAATAGGCGCTACATTGGTAGTGATGCTGCGTTCGCTTCACTGGAGTTATTTTGGGCCATCACTCGAAGGGTGCCTTATTTAGTGCCCAAAGATTTATGGCTCAAAATAACGCTAACAATATCATCAAGGTATAGAATGACACCATTGTAGACCAAATCTCCTAAGATGGTCCAAATGATTTGCTGAAATGTTGGCTGTTCTTAAGGCCTATTGAGAGTACGAGCCATTCGTACTGGCCATCGGGTGTGATGAAGCCAGTCTGCCCGATTGACTCGGGATCAAGTCTGACCTTTTAGTCCAAGGCCAAATCTAATGTTGTAAAGAATCGGGCTTGGGCTAACTTGTCAATGACATCTCGGATTACGGTAAGCGGTTCCCGTTCGTCAACAGTGGCTTTGTTAATGAGCCGATAGTTAATGAAGAATTGCGGCGACATTTTTTTGCGGGCAAGGGTGACCGGCGCAGTCAATGGTCAGTCTGCAAATGAAATGAGACAGTTAGGTTAGGTTATATTACTTTAAATTAGCTTTTTAAGAAACAGTTATTCAAAGTCGGCTAGGTAGAGAAGTAGAATTATAGGCGGAAAGTCGTAACGGCGAGACCGCGACTGCCAAAGAGAGACAATGGCGGCGAAATAAACTGCGATAGAGCCGCCGGGGCGTTTGTTAAGCCGAACGGGATAACAAGCCACTCGAAATGGCCGTCCGCACTGATGATGACCGTCAATTCGACAACTCCGGGGCCATCCGAAGATTCCAATAGCCCTAGGACATGTTGAAGATAGTGATTAACGAGCTGAATCCGCCAATCTTTGGCTATTGGCGGCGGTGTATTGGCTCCGGACGTCTTAACGCAACACAAGTACAGTCTCGTCGGTATCGCCAAAAATGTGATTAAATACTTTCAGAGACGAGTTGATCTGTTTGTGATCGGCGGCCAATCACCACTATATGGCTAGAGCTGTCGTTGAGTGCCGGCGAGTTAGAAAATGTGAGAGGCGGAGATTAAGAGAAAGAGAGAAAGAAAGAAAGAAAGAAAGAAAGAAAGAAAGAAAGAAAGAAAGAAAGAAAGAAAGAAAGAAAGAAAGAGAGAGAGAGAGAGTAACAGATTTAATCCGCAAACTAGACTGCTAAACTGCGACACGGCGCTTATTAAAAACTATGACCGCGAGACATGACGCAAGCCGGAGACCGGAAAATATAGGTCGCGAGACAGTGGCCGAATGGCGGAGACCGCGAGCCAAAGATCGCGAAACATAAACAAAAGTTGCGAGTAAGACGCGAGCCAATGACCGCAGACAAGCCGCTGGACACAGATCGCTAAACAAAGACCGCAGAAAGACCGCGGACACAAACCGCTAAACAGGGACTGCAGAAAGACTGCTAGACAGGGACCGCAGATTAACCGCGGACACAAACCGCTAAACAGGGACCGCAGAAAGACCGCTAGACAGGGACCGCAGATAGACCGCGAACACAAACAGCAGGACAGAGACCGCGGAACGGAAATCGCTAGACAAAGACCGCTGGACACAGACCGCGTTTCAGAAACAGCGAGATTGCGAGAGACGGAAAGAGACCGTGATTCAGATACGGTGATTCAGTCGAAGAAAGACGGCGAACCAGAGACTGAAAAAGAGACGGCGAGTGAGACGACGAGAGCGAGAAAGTCAATACAAGTAAAATGTATCGATAATACTTTATGTTTGTAATATTGTATTTTATTCTGTTTTGTTAGGTTAGGTTAGGTAAGGTAGGGTTAGGTTAGGTTAGGTAAGGTAGGGTTAGGTTAGGTTAGGTCACGTGTTCATGTTATAGTTGTGCTCATTACAACTAAATAACTAAAGTAAAATTCAAACCACGTTAAAACCTGAGACCCCTTCACCGTCATAACTATCAAGTTGAACCTCATTATTCTTTAGATTATTTTTATAAGTTGGGTTCCACTAAATTTGAACCATTTATTTGTGCCCGATGGGCACTGGTTTTAATTAATTTTTTACCAAAAAATTAGGCTATGTAAAGTATATTGCAGGAACAAGTACTTCTCGACTATGCGATCAAATATCCCTCTATCACGTTTGTTCCACTTTTTTCAAAAACACTTTTATAAGGCAAATTTTAAAAAATCGCGAACAACTTTAACTTTTCGCCCATTTTCACCGAATAAAGTTCAACCGATTTCGATGCTCTCTTTGCCATTCAATTCAACTTCAATTATCGAGTTGATTCATATGCTCAGGGTCGTTCTAGCACCAACAAGTATCGAGCAATTGAATTTTAAAACTAATTTATATTTGACCCCCTCTCATATTACGTACTTTTGTCTAAAACTTATTTTGACCTGAGTGCAATGTTTGCATTTATTACCGTTTTAAACTTATAAGGTCAAAATGGTGGTAACAATTATGGCTATGACATGATTCAAGACGGGTCGTATACTAGTATATGTAAAATAGTAATTGTAACAAATATTATGGTTTTTTTATTTTCAGAATAACTAGAATGTTTTATAATAGACATTATCGGTGTGGGTAAAAAACTATTTATAGCCATAAGTTCGCCGATACACATACGCCTCCCCGCGCCAAACGGTATATACGCTAAGGGGCCGACCGATTTGAAATGGCCATGATCGTCAAGAAAACGTCCAGGATTAAATTGTTCACCATTTGGCCAAATGCTATCATCAGTCAATATATGCCACGAATGATGGATGAGTATTGTTTGACCAGGAACTGTGTATTTACCGTCTAGAAATAACAACGATTAATTAATTTATTACTAATTAAACATGGTTTTAAAATAAAGTTGAACCTAATATGGTATCCGATAAAGTCATATGCGGTGCCCCAAAAGGTACGGGATTTCTACAACGAAAGGTTTCGTATAGGAATGCCATAACATTATGCAAATGGTGTTTATCGGCCACAACCGGTGCCCTATCGCCCAGTCTATCGTTCACTTCATTTCGCATGATTTGCTGCCAATCGCTATAATATACCATAAATAGTAGATTCCATACGAGAGTTGTAAATGAGGTTCCCATTCCCGCTGTTATAATAAGATACATGTAACTTTTAAACAATAAATTAAATAATTATATATTATTGGGAATAACATGCAGTGAACATTATTTATAAAATACTATTAATTGATACCATATATAAATTTTATACACAACAACTGCTCGCCTCTTATATAGACTAAACTGTATTAATAATTAAATGCAATTGCAATACAATCACTGAATCAATACCTAAATACAAGTCCATAACTACGGCTGCAATGTTATTATCATTCAAACATTCAAAGCCCAGCTTTCCCTCCGCCTCTGCCCGGCGTTTAGCGGCTATAAACTGACTGCAAAAATCTCGGCCATTACTCTCGTCGTAAGTATTATCGCGTAATATTAATTCATTTATCACGTATTTAAAGCACTTATTATATGTTTGTTGCAATTTATGCATAGGATTGGCCATCAAATATCGTGCAATGGGTATAAACTCGTATATGCCGTACGAATTGTTAGTCTCGTATTCGATCCAATGGCTTGGATAATGAAAATTTGTATACATTTCCTGATCTAACCTAAATTATTAATATGCAAACTATAATTGTAAATTACGTTTTAACATGCATTATAATTATTTTGTTTGTTTTAGTTTACTTATGGTTAAAAATGGAGACATTAAATATATTCATAAGTATTTCGTGACAATAGGACTGCGGTTTAAACGGCCGATCGGTTCCCTCTTTGGTCATCAGTTGTTCAAACATTTC